TGATATTTGGGGCCTGATATTATGTTCAGCTCAGAAATAAATTTTTAAAATTTTTTCAAAATCGTATCGGATTTGGATATAGCTCCCGTATATATCATTATCCGATATCAGGTTTATTGTGCACCAAATGGCTAATATCAGACCAAATGGCCTGTATTTTGCACATCCGATTGAATTCAGTAAGTACATTGAATTTGGAGAAAATCGATACAGATATAGCTATAGCAACCATATGTATATATATGTTTCATCCGATTTGGGATTTTAAGTCACTCACATGTGTAATATGCACTCCACTAGAATGATATTTGGGACCAGATATCAGATTCAGCTCCTGCACTCCGCAGGAACGATACCAGGATAACGGTCTAAGACCCTAGGTCTCTTTGGACCAAATCCGTTTCAGAACATTTGAAGTCGATCTAGCGATGTCCGTCTGTCTGGCTGGTGCGCACGATAACTCTCGAAGCGAGTATCCGATTTGGTCCAAACTTGGTACATTGTAATATTTTTATCAAACTTAGATCGAGTTCGGAGATGGGCGATATCGGTTCACTTCTAGTCCAAATTTTCAAAAAAATTATTTTTTGCGCAAAAGGAGAAAGGATAATCCGATTTTGCTGCAACTCTGCAAATTCTAATATTTGCGTCAGTGCCAGGTCAGGTGTGAAAATGGACAAAATCGGCCCACTCGATCAAGTACGTCCCCACAAATTGTCCAAATTTTGTATTATTACAACTCTCATAAAATGTGATGTAAGAGTCCGAGTATCTTCAAATTTCACACATCCCAATATTTATACGAACACAAGGTCTGATGTTAAGATGTGGTATATCGCTCCACTCCTTCTGGTATCTCCCCCCACAAAGGCTCAAAATTTTGAAAATCTCATAAAAAGCGAAATCAACATCCGATTCCATTCCAGACATGGTACATCTCAATTTTTCCATAAACACAAGATCTAATATAAAGATGGTAGAGATCGGACCATTCGGATCAACTCTCTTTAAATTTCACATATACAGACATTTTTGCTTACACAAGATCTGTTGTTAAGTTGCTATATATCTGCAAACCACTTCTGGTACCGCATCCACAAAGGGACACAATTTTCAATGCTTGTATCTGCCATAAATTGCGAAACAAATCAGCGATTCTTTAAAGCTTGCTATATCTAAATATATGTCTCTCAACCGGAATCCTGAGATGAATTTGGAATTGATTTCCCATAAATTGGATATAAATGTTTGATTTTCTTATATATTTATAATGTTATTTATATCATATTTATTTAGGTCCGATACGAAAAGGACAATATTGACCCATTCTTTCAAAACCATTCCATTCCATTGAGGGTCAAGAATTTGAAAATTCATTACAAAAGTCAAAATATTTTTAAATAATCGAACATTGGCTGAGGGTATACATCTGTCGGTAAAACCGACCGATACTTTTTTACTTGCTTAAATTATTTTATTTAAATATATTGTAAACTTTGCCGCCATACATTGTAAACGACCATATTGAATATTTTTTAATTATTTTCAAAAATAATATTTTATTTTCAAATTTGTTCTCTCCACTTTATTCATGTTTAATTTCGTACACACACACACACACACAATTTTTCGCAAATAGGTGTTTACATTAAATTCAATTACAATGAGATTTTTAATTTACCTAATTTTGTGGTGGCAGCAGTGCATTTGTGCGATTTGATGACCTCGTTGTTATTGTTGCCTTGCTTTGCGATATTGTTGCTGTTATTGTTGTCACCATTGTCTAATTCCCAATTTAAATCTGTTCAAATGCATTCGAAAATATGCTAAAACGTATGCATTCATTATACACCTGATTTAACATGGCTATGGCTGTGGCTACGGCCCTGATGCGGCTCGGCCGATTTGTTGTATTATTATGAATATTATTTATTTAAACTCGAATAAAATTGAGGTGACTCTCTAACCACAAACAAACTAACCATCCTGGCGATGGTTGAACGCAATGCAGGATGCAACGTGTGACGAATGAAATTTTTAAAATAATTTCCACGATTTACATTAATGTGTAGTGACAAAAATTCAAATGAATTGGTTTTAATATGCATTTAGACGCATGGGCCTGCTGGGGGGAGCAAATATGCGTAAAATTAGAAATTACATTGAGAAAAATGCAGTTAATTTTCAAAATACCAAACTTTGGCGAAATTAGATGGAAAATATCGCAGAAATGTAAAAAAATAGTATTAATCGGGATCAAAAATCGGAACATGACCAAATGATGGTTGAAGTAATCCAATATTGCGAAAAAAAACATGTAAAAAAGCAGTAAGCTCGACCGGGCTGAACTTTGAATACCCTCCACCATTTGAAACAAATTAGATAATTTTCAAAAAAAAAAAAAACAAAATAACATAAATAAATAAATAAAAATTCAGTTTAAATCTTTAAAATACCTAATATCGGAAGGTGCCGATATATGGGGAATATACGATATTGAGGACCTATATAGACAAATCTATGTCTGGCAGTTCTTGACTTATAAGCGGATGACAAAGATCTATTTCTCTTACATATATATTGTACCTATTTTGTTATGTGTATATCCCATATCTTGACTATAAGCATAACTGCTATGGTCTCTAACTTCATGCAAAACTCGATTGGTTTATTATTGTGGCCTATAGAGCAACTGCAAAATTAGGAAATGTTTTTCAGGTCCATTTCAACCCCTAAATATTGTGCCATCATCTGCAAAAATAATAGTGTTCTATTCTGACCCTAACCACAACTCAATTTTCAAATTCGAAGGATCGAACCATAATTGCGACCTGTAGCATGATTACAAGTTAACATGAGCAGACGGTCGGACAGACATACATAGATAGATCGACTCAGCTTTTCACAAAATGGTACAATAGTAATAATAGTATAATAAAGTCAAACGTTTTATTCTTTTTAACTTCCAATTCTTGGAACCTGTCTGATATTTTTTTTTGGATTCGTGAATAGCTCAACAAAAAAAATTATAGGACAGTGTTGGCTTGTTTGTTCGGAGTACCATAGTATTTTGTTGTTGCAATATGGTCAGGATTAATCCCATTATTATTGTTTTTATAAAACAACCTTTGTTTATTAGTGGAGAACGATGGTAATGTTTACCAGGGGGTAAGACAGGGAATACCTTAATTTCGGAAATAGCCACCAATCCTCATCAGTTCCCTTGTTTTTGTCTGGAATATTCTCCCCATTATTTTAAAATAACTTCTATTAAAATAACTTCTATAACAAAAAACATTTTTTACCCAAGTGACAGGATCGTAAGCTCAATAGAAGAAGAACCAAAGAATTAAATAAAACTAAAATTCTTTTGGAAAATCTTCTAAATTTTACAACCGCACTTATATTCTCGATTTTTGGGGTCACGTATTTTTTGGCCGGATATAAGTTTTTGGTTCAAAACTTGAAAGTATTAACTAGTTATTTATCGCTTGGTTCAGAATTCTCTATTTCACAATTTGTTCCATTTCCAGAAAAAAAACAAAAAGCTGTAAGTTTGGCCGGGCCGAACTTTTAATACCCTCCACCATTTGGTACAAATTTGGCAATTTTTAAAAAATTAAAATCCACTAAAATACCTAATGTAGCCGTATATTAGGGTCTATACGACGACGTGGATGCAACTTTTGTCATAAGCCTGCACAGACAATTTGCTGGCATAGGCTGTAGTATCCATTACGAACTTCAAATACAAAATTTGAAATAATTCCGGTAAATAATGTCGCTAAAATCGTCAAAATACCGTAAATCGGGGATACCATTTTATGGGGACAATACGAAGACGTGGACCTGCACAGACAATTTTCTATCATAGGCTGTAGTATTCATTACGAACTTCAAATACTAAATTTAAAATAGTTCCGGTAAATAATGTTGCTAAAATCGTCAAAATACCGAAAATCGGGGGGTCCCGTTGTATGGGGGCCATACGAGGACGTGGACCTGTACAGAAAATTTTCGGCAATAGGCTGTAGTATTCATTACGAACTTCTTATACTAAATTTGAAACAATTCCGGTGAATAATATCGCTAAAATCATCAAAATACCGAATATCGGGAGGTACCGTTATATGGGGGCTATACGAAGATGTGGATCTGCACAGACAATTTTCTGTCTTATGCTGTAGTATCGCTTTCGAACTTCAAATACCAAATTCGAAACAATTCCGGTGAATAATGTCGCTAAAATCATTAAAATATCGAATATAGGGAGGTACTGTAATATGGGGGCTATACGAAGACGTGGACCTGCATAGATAATTTTCTGTCTTAGGCTGTAGTATCCATTGCGAACTTCAAATACCAAATTTTAAACAATTCCGGTTAATAATGTCGCTACCGTTAATAATGTCGGGTACCGTTATATGGGGGCTATACGAAGATTAGCTCCACATCTTCGTATAGCCCCCATATAACCCATGGCCCATTTTCAATACCAAAAGTCCTGCAGACATAATACACATTTGACCTTGTGGGGCCTAAAATGTATATTTCGAGGTGTTACAAACGGATTGACAAACTTAATATACCCTTCATAGTATGGTGGACTGAAATTTTTCTTAAAGTTTTGCAACGAGTTTTTCTCAGTGTAAATTTGAGCAAATTGTCTCCTAAAATGCCAAATTAAATTTAAATAAATATAAACATAGTTAAACACAGCATAGCTATCGTTAGAGAGCGATGTTTAAATGAACCTGATATTATAAATCTCATTTATGGCTATGAATCGGAATTTCCATATTGAAAAATTCCCCTTCAAACAATGCACAAAGTACTAAAATATTATTGTTTAATTCTAACCTGAAGATTATTCCTATATGAAAACAAATAATGTTCTATGATTGTGTGTACAGCTAGAACTCATACGAAAAAAGGTCATAGGGTTATCAATGCTCAAACGGAAAACAACGAAATGCTATTCGCTTGCTCCGAGATTTGAAAAACTAAAATCTCATCTACAGTCTAGTGACGGGCTTTCATCGAAACACTCTGTCTCGAAGTAGAAGCAAAAAATAAAATGTCCAAGACATCGTTGGTGATTTTCTTATGCCTAGCTGCATTAGTGGGCCTAGCGAAGTGTGACCCAACAGCAACAACAACAAGCGCCACTGACACAGAGACAACAACATATGAACCCCATAAGCGTGGCTACATCATTGGCAACAATGTACCCCACTTGGAACCGGGTTGCGAATACAAATTCAAGTGCAAGGTTAAACTCCAGAATGCCGAAATACCCAAACCATGTCTGAAAACTTGCGTCGAAAGTTGGATCTGCAACAAACAGAAGAAAACCATTCGCAAGGGATTCTATTGCGTGGAATTCAATGAGGAGCTCGTTGCCGAAGAATACAAAGCCGAGAAAGAGGCTCAACACGTTAAGGCCAGTCCGGTGGCAATGATCGATTTCCCCTGCCAACCTGGTTATTTGCCCGATAGTCGTGGTCGTTGTCGTGAAGTCTGGTAAATCGATTTAATAAATATTTTTAAGTTTGTGGAAAATGTGATTTGATTTGAACACCGAATATATTTATATGTTTTTAAGACTAAAAACTGAAATGTTTCTTTATTATTGTTATCTCAAAAGACCTAGGCATCAGCTTCCAATGATAACCCATACAAAAATATCACGAAAATTAATCGTGAAAGATTATCAAAATACTACTGAGGTTTATCAAGATGTCATGGCACCAGTTCTAAACGTGCCGAACTTTTCATACCTATTACTAATATAGTTTAACTTTTTATTTTATATTGCGGGAATTCGAAGGTCAGAATTGGTGGTCGTGAAATATTTAATATAAACAAGTAAAAAAGGTGTAAGTTCGGCCGGGCTGAACTTTGAATACCCTCCACCATTTGGTAAAAATTTGGCAATTTTCAAAAAAATAAAATCCGTAAAAAATTCTGTTAAAATCGCGGACCTGCATAGGCAACTTTTTCCACAAGCTATTGCAATATTCAAATGCGAAACTTAAAAAAAATATGTTTGCAATGTGGCTAAAATCACCAAAATACCGAATATAGGGAGGTACCATGGGGGTTATAAAACGTGGCCATGCACAGACAATTTTCATGGTATAGGCTGTAGTATCCACTACGAACTTTAAATACAAAATGTGAAATTATTCCGGTAAATAATGTCGCTAAAATCATCAAAATACCGAATATCGGGAGGTACCGTTATATGGGGGCTATACGAAAAGGTTGACCTATATGGCCCAGTTACGAACTTAACATGCCTACTGGCAAAAAAACTTGTGTGCAAATTTTCAGCCTTCTATCTCAATTCATTCGAAAGATAATGTGATTACAACAGACGGACAGACTGACTGACGGACATCGCTAAATCGACTTAGAGTTTTACGCTGATCAAGAATATATATACTTTGTTGGGTCTGACATGAGTATTTCGAGGAGTTACAAACGGAATGACAAATTTAATATACCCTCCATAGTATGGTGGACGGTATAAAAATTGAAAACAAAAGAGTCCGCAAAGAATGGGCTAATGTAGAAGCGCCAAGTTTTTGTTATACCCCCAGACATATGGCTACAGAGGGTGTATATATCACTTGATACGCCCAAAACGTTCCTCATCGAAATAGCAGTTTTAGACCCTACGTCTCTTTGTACCAAATCCGTTTCAGGACATTTGGCTTGGATCTTGCGATGTTCGTCCTCCCGTCTGCCTGTCTGGCTGGTGCGCACGATAACTCTCGAAGGGAGTATCCGATTTGATCCAGACTTGGTACATCGTAATACTATTATCAAAATTAGTTCGAATTCAGATATATGGGCAATATGGGCCCACTCCTTCTGGTACCTCCCCACCCGCAAAAGGTCAAAATTTTCAAAAAAATATTTTACTACACAGAAAGAGAGAGAATAATCCGAATTTAGTCCAACTTTGCAAATCCTAATATTTTCATCAGTGCTAGGTCGGGTGTGAAAATGGACAATATCGGTCTTCAAATTATACACATCACAATATTTTTATTAACCCAAGCTTGTGGTGTAGAGATGGAATATATCTGTCTACTTCTTCTGGTATCTCCCTCACAAAAGGTCAATATTTTAAATATCTATGACACTTTGGCCCAAGGACGAACCCTATTGAAATTGGTGAGAATCGGTTCAAATTTATACAGAGCTACCATATATATCTTCAACGGATTTCGGGATAATTGTGCCACTAATGGCTAATATCAGTCCAAATAGACTGAATTTTAGCAATTTCGACTGAATTCATCGAGATCGGTTCAGATATGGATATATCTCCCATATATATCTCTATCTGATTTCAGTTTTTTGTGCACCAAATGACTATTATCACCCCAAATTTACAGAATTTTGAAAATTTCGACTGAATTCACCCTAGAAACAAGTAATTAATATGTAGTGGAAATCGGTTCAGATATAGCTCACATATATACAGGTTGAGATCGAAAACCTACAACAAAGTCACACGCCATCATTTTTAATTTAATTTATTGGGAGCAAAACATTCCGGAAACAGCATCAAATTTTAGAATAAGTTTAGATTTGTTCGAATTGGTCACCTTTAGTACAAATTATGGCCTTCAAACGGCCAATGAAACCGCCACACGCTGCCCGAATATTGTTCTGCGGTATTTTGTCCCATTCCCGGCGAAGCGCTTGTTTGAGGTGATCGACACTTTGTAAATTTTAGTGCCAACCTTGCTTTCCAAAATACTCCACACAATGGTCCAACGGATTGGTATCCGGATATTTTGGTGACCATTGTCCGCTGGAATTGAAGAATAGAACCTCATTTTGTAACTCTTCTTCCTATTTGGTGTTATAAAATGCGTTATAACACAGCAATGATCTTTGGTACCAGAAAACTTCTGGAGCTCAAACTTATCTCTGCTAAATTTTATCCAGATCGGATCAGATAGCTCCCACATATACATTTATCCGATATCAGGTGTATTGTGCACCAATGATATTAGCCATATTAACCCATATGGACTAAATTTTGGCAATTCCAAAGAAATTCAACCTAAAAGCAATTTCTTCAAATTTTGCTGAAAATCGGTTTAGATATAGCTATAGCTCCAATATATGTGTTTCATCCGACTTTGTGTTATAAACACGCGTAATATGCACTCCACAACCATGATATTTTACAGCGGACATCAGCTACCGCTCGAAAATACATTTGCCAAATTTTATTGAGATCGGTTCAGGTTTTTGTATAGCTTCGATAGACATCTTCATCCGATTGTGTTGTTATTGCTCACCATATATATAATGTCAGCGCAAATTGAATAGATTTTTTCATATTCAACTGAATTTTATCACTCACTCCGGCATATCTATTGCTCCAATAAATATTTATTTGGTATAATCCTTTTCGAAGTCATATCATGACCTTTACAGCAATGTTACCTGGTTCATAGTTGGTATAATCTACTTCACACTAATTTCCAATATAAACTTTTTTGTTACAGGAGCTCTACTCAATACGTATAGTGGTGTAGGTATCATATAGACTACCCCGTCCGACTATTTGCCTTTCTTTACTGATTTAAGTGTTTAAAAGTTAAAAAAGCCAATCAAAATCCAGCATTTAATGATCCGAGTTCCTGATCTTCCTAAATTGATGGGAGTGGTCAAGACCTGAATTTGGTACAAGGATATCACTGGTGCATTGGAAATCTCATACTATAACTTCTTCCGCAGTTATTTTTCTTTTTTTTTGATAATATGGGAATTTGATTCAAAAAACGGTAACGGCCACCAGAACTCAAGCGCCGGCCATGGTGATGGTGTGGGTGATGCGCTATAACATCCGATGGTCGCTCTCCGCTCGTATTAATCGACCGTGACATCAGAATAAATGCCAAACATTATCGTGAAAATATTCTGGAGGGCGTATTAAAGCCTTGGGCACACGAACATTTTGGCCGCAGACCTTGGACAAATACAATAGTGTGGATCACCTCAATCAAGCGTTTCGCCAGGAATGGGCGAAAATACCGCAAGGCAACATTCGGGCAGCGTGTGACGATTTTATTGGCCGTTTGAAGGCTATACTTCGTGCCAAAGGTGACCTATTCGAAAAAATCTAAACTTATTCTAAAAATTTGATGATATTTCCGACATTTTTAGCTTTCTTCCAATAAAATTAAAAAAAAAAAAATTATGGCTTTTGACTTTGTGGCTTTTTTTATCATACCTTGTAGAGGTGAAAATCTCCCCACCCCGTTGCGCAGATTAAATTACAGACATACTTACATTTAAAACCAGTATACTTACATTGCAAAATATCAAATATTTATACCCTACAACACTATGTGTTGGGGGTATTATAAGTTTGATTGACACAAAAATTATGTAACACCTCGAAATATTGGTTTCCCACATAGAAAATATGTATGTATGGATCTTCCTATCTCGCCGAGCTGAGTCGATCTAGCTATGTATGTCCGTCCGTCTGTCCGTCTGTCCATGTTAATTTGTAATCAAGAAACAGGTCGCAATTAATGCCCGATCTTGACGAAATTGTAAATGGAGGTGGGGATAGGGTCAGAATAAAAGCTAACTGTTTTAGGAGATGATCGTAAAATATTTAGGGGTTGAAATGGACCAAAAACTGAAAAATGTCCTCATTTTGCAGTTGCTCTACAGGCCGCAATTATCAACGCGGATGGAATTTAGGGCTGGGCAAAAGCCTACCAATTTCTACGGTCATCGGACAATATTTAACGGGTAAAATAACTAATAACTTTTATGTCAAAAAAATATGAAATTTTCCACAAAACCGCGAATATTTTTAATCCTGGCCATAGTACAAATTTATTAGAAGGTCACTACTGACCATTACAGTGATGCTGATAGCCAAAATATCGGATATAAATAGGAACAATCTATATGTAAATGAAATTGATGTTAGTTATTCGGCTTATAAGTCAAGAACCGCTGGACAGATTTTGACACTTTTCTCCAATTTGCAATGGACTCTTGCCAGAAAAGGGGAAAATCTAAGAAAATCGCTTCAAACTCAGCCAACAAAAAAGTTAAAATTTTTTGTTACATTTTTTCAATTATTGTCATATTTTTTATCGCATGCGATATTTTCAATTTGACTTAAAATTTTGAATTGTACGTTTTCAAAAATGTTTCTACACCCTGCAACACAATGTTTTGAGGGCATATATACAGGTCACAATTATCGTCTGATCCTAACGAAATTTGGCATAGGGGTATGGTTAGGCTCAGAATTAAAGCCTATTGTTTTTGAAGATGTACATTTGGACAAAAAAATGAAAATTTATCTGATTTTGCAGACACTATACAGGTCACAAATTAAAACCAATTGACACGGAGTTTTGCATGAGGAGAGATTAAGAACAGGGAAGATGTCGAGCATTCTGAATGATCATTGGATTATATTTAATTGTAATATGGACACAGTTTTGCTGTGAAATTGTTTTGAGTACCTGACAAGACGACGTAGTGAGTAAATATTGGGCAAATGTCCCCGGTCAAATGTCAAATGAGATTATTTCAAAAACGAAATCTTT